TAAAGCAACACACTGATTTTATTTTTTGCATTATCTGTTTGTAACAAAATGTAGATTGTAGATTCTTTTTTTTTTTTTAAAGAAACATCATATAAAACGTTCTGCATAGAACGGGGGTCCCCAACGTGGAGCCCACTGACGCCTTTCCTGGTGCCCTCCAATTGTTTTTAAAATTGGGCGGGGCCTGTTGAGGATCTCGCCTAGCAAGGCTCCTGATTGGCCAGTGGAAATTTGGCCGTGCAGATTTCTTAAAATGTCGTTTTGGCAGCATCTCCCCCCACAGCACAAGGATCTTTGTTGTGTGACTGAGGGTCAGCTGCGGCATCCATTGTGCGGCTGGCTCCACCCCCTACAGCTGCCATTTTGAGGCAGCCATTTTGTGGCTGCGCCCGCCACTCTGTGGCAGAGTTCCAGAGGTGCCCGCAGGCTCCAAAAGGTTGGGGATCCTTGGTGTAGAGAGTATTGTTGATATTTTTGTGCATCGTAGCTACATCACTGTGTATTGTGTGCCTTTTCCACTGTGGTGTGAAAAAGACTGAAACGTGTGTGGGCGGGACTTCTGATGAAACATTTTGACCTGCATGGAGAGGGGGGCCATTCCACCACTCTTTCTCTACCTGCTCTATCCCATGCATAATCTTATAAACCTCAATCATGTCACCCCTCAGTCGTCGTTTCTCCAAGCTAAAGAGCCCTAAGCGCTTTAACCTTTCCAACCCTTTTATCATTTGAGTTGCCCTTTTCTGCACTTTTCCCAAAGCTATAATATCCTTTTTAAGGTGTGGTGCCCAGAACTGCACACAGTATTCCAAATGAGGTCTCACCATTGATTTATATAGGGGCATTATTATATTGGCTGATCTGTTTTCAATACCCTTCCTAATAATCCCCAGCATAGCATTGGCCTTCTTTATTGCAGTCACACACTGTCTCAACATTTTCAGTGAGTTATCCACTACAACTCCAAGATCTCTCTCTTGATCAGTCTCTGCCAGTTCAGACCCCATCAATGTGTATTTATATTTAGGATTTTTAGCTCCAATGTGCATCACCTTGCACTTGGCCACATTGAACCCCATTTGCCATGTTGACGCCCACTCGCCCATCCTTGACAGATCCCCTTGGAGTGCCTCACAATCCTCACTGGTTTTCACCACCCTGAACAACTTTGTATCATCCGCAAATTTAGCCACTTCACTGCTTACTCCCATCTCCAAATCATTAATGAACAAGTTAAAAAGCAGTGGACCAAGTACTGATCCCTGCGGTACCCCACTGCTTACCACCCTCCACTGAGAAAATTGCCCACCTACACTCACTCTCTGTTTTCTATGAACTAGCCAGTTTTTGATCCATAAAAGGACTTGTCCTTCTATCCCATGATTTTTGAGCTTACTTAGGAGCCTTTGATGAGGAACTTTATCAAAAGCTTTCTGGAAGTCAAGGTAAATAATATCTATTGGATCCCCCTTGTCCACATGTTTGTTCACCCCCTCAAAGAACACTAACAGGTTAGTGAGACAAGATCTTCCCTTACAGAAACCGTGCTGAGTCTGCCTCAATAGGTTTTGTTCATCTATGTGCCTACTAATTCTTTCCTTAATAATGGTTTCCACCAATTTACCCGGTATCGACGTCAGACTGACTGGCCTGTAATTTCCCGGATCTCCTCTGGAACCCTTTTTAAAGATGGGAGTGACATTAGCTACCTTCCAATCCTCAGGAATGGAGGCAGATTTTAAGGAAAGATTACATATCTTTGTCAGGAGATCTACAAGTTCACATTTGAGTTCTTTCAGAACTCTCGGATGTATGCCATCTGGGCCTGGTGATTTTTCAGTTTTTAAGTTGTCTATCAGTTTTAGGACCTCCTCTCTCATCACCTCAATCTGACTCAGGTCTTCCAACACCCCTCCTGAAATCAGTGGTTCTGGAGTGGGCAAGCACTTCTCATCTTCCACAGTGAAGACGGAGGCAAAAAATGCATTTAGCTTCTCAGCCATTTCCCTATCATCCTTCAATACTCCTTTTACCCCTTGGTCGTCCAAGGGCCCCACTGCCTCCCTGGCTGGTTTCCTGTTTCTAATGTATTTGAAGAAAGTTTTATTGTTGGTTTTTACGTTTTTTGCTATATGCTCCTCATATTCCCTTTTTGCCTGCCTGACCTCAGACTTGCATTTTATTTGCCATAGCCTGTGTTCCGTTTTATCAGCCTCACTGTGACTAGCTTTCCACTGCTTAAAGGAATTCTTTTTACTTTTTACAGCCTCCATTACTCTGTTTGTTAACCATGCAGGCTTTTTCCTATACCTGTTTGTGCCTTTCCTAACCTGCGGAATATATATTTTTTGAGCTTCTAGGATCGTAGTTTTAAATAGATCCCAAGCTTCCCCAATTGTTTTGACCCTTTCTACTTTTCCTTTCAGTTTCCTCCCCACGTGTCCCCTCATATCAGAGAAATTACCCCTTTTAAAGTTAAAAATGGTTGTGTGAGTCTTTTTGGCCAATTCTCTATTTGTACAAATGATGAACTCAACAACATTATGATCACTGTTTCCAAGCGGTGCAATCACTTTTACATCTCTCACCAGGTCTTGAGTGTTACTTAGGACCAAATCAAGGATCGCCTCTCCCCTGGTAGGTTCCGTGACCATCTGCTCCATAGCACAGTCATTTAGAGTGTCTAGAAACTCAATCTCTTTTTCCCGACTAGAACACATATTGACCCAATCAATGTGTGGGTAGTTAAAATCACCTATTATTACACAGTGTTTTTGTCTAGTTGCTATCTTTAAGGCATTCATCATTTTATAATCCTCCTCTATCTTTTGATCTGGTGGGCGATAACAAACTCCCAGTGTTAAGTTTCCTTTTGGCCCCCCTATTTCAACCCATAGAACTTCCAGAAGCGAATCCAATTCACTTAGCCTCTCAATCTTTCTAGACTTTATACCCTCTCTGACATACAGAGCTACCCCACCTCCAACCCTTCCCCCCCTATCCTTCCGATATAATATATAACCGGGAATCACTGTGTCCCACTGATTTTCCTCATCCCACCAAGTTTCAGAAATACCCACAATGTCTATTTTTCCCTCCGACACCAAGCACTCCAACTCCCCGATTTTACCTCGGACACTTCTAGCATTTGTATAGAAACAGCTGTAATTTCCCTTACAAGTTAAGCCTGCATCCTTCCTCTTGCTATCTCGAGTCGTTGTCCGGCAGTCCATGTCACCAGCCATGGCCTCTGTGGACAATTTCAATCCACCTCCCTGTAGAAAAGCAACCGGTACCCCCTCACCTCTCTCAGATGAGCCAACCCGAACCAGAGACTTTTCATCTCCTGTCGGCTTTCCCCCAATATTCAGTTTAAAAGCTGCTCTGCCACCTTTTTGATTTTAAGTGCCAGCAGCCTGGTTCCTTCTCGGGACAAGTGGAGACCGTCTCGCCTGTACAGCTCCCTCTTGTTCCAAAAAGTATCCCAGTGCCTAACAAACCTGAACCCTTCCCCCCTACACCATCGTCTCATCCACGCATTGAGACTCCTGATCTCTGCCTGTCTCTCCGGCCCTGCGCGTGGAACAGGTAACACTTCTGAGAAGGCTACCTTGGAGGTCCTGGACCTAAGTTTCCTGCCCAGCAGCCTAAATTTCTCCTCCAGGACCTCACGACTGCATTTCCCCACATCGTTGGTGCCGACATGCACCACGACCACTGGCTCCTCCCCAGCACTATCTACCAGCCTATCTAAAACACGCGTAATGTCCGCTACCTTCGCACCAGGCAGGCAAGTCACCATACGGTCAGTACGCGGGTTCGCCACCCAGCTGTCTACCTGCCTAAGGATCGAATCACCCACTACCAAGAGCCCCCCTCCCACCCTGCTCAGGGATGGTTCCTTGGTGCAAAAGGAGAGCCGCTCACCAGCTGGGGAAGAGGTCCCTTCTGAGGGCACATTCCCCTTATCCTCAGCATGGTGCCCTGTTTCCCCTAGACCCTCATGCTCCCTGACAGCAGCGGGGCTGCCAGATCCAGAGTGGGACGAAGCTAACAAGTCCCCGAGAGTCTTTTCTGTGTGCCTAGCTGACTGTCTCTCGTTCCTGAGAGGCTCTCGTGCAATGAATGGCGCAGCACTGCCCGGCGAGCACCCTGAGGCTGCAGCCAATGAGCTGCCTTGCCCGTTCCGCAGCCCCCTCGGGGCCGACCTCCTCTGCACGGTCGAGCAAGCCGAAGAGATCATCGGGTTGGAAGCAACCGGGTTTGGCACCGGAGACCAGCTCGAAGCCTTCAACTACATCCCGGTGGACCACGCCGTGGCGGTGGAATGCGACGAGCAAGTCCTGGGGGAATTCGAAGACGTCAACCGAAGGATCTATGCCTTGAACAAGGACCCGCCCACCTTCTGCCGGCCACGGAAGGGTTCCGACAAGTGAGCGTCGGGCCCCGGAGCCACAGTGGCAGCAGCACATTACCAAGGTGAACTATCTGTCTCGGATGAAGATAAAACTTGCACTTGGGATTCTCGGACATCTATGGGCTGCAGGCGAGGTCAAGGGGAGCATTGTCACTATAATTCTGGGGGGGTGGGGGTTTCCAACTTTTATTACACACGATTGTGGTATGGCCACAGTCCAGGTCAACATATACCGCTTCCTGTCCTGGTTTTCTATATTTTCTGATTTCTCCGGCGAGTCAGATCAGGCTGGTATATGTGTGCCTCTGTCATCTGCTTAAATTTATTATTTCAACAAGGGTGCGTGTGTCTGTTTCTTACCTGCTCGGCGGCTCGTTGCATTCAGCCCGCCCACGCGATCCTTTTCTACTTCACTAGTGGGAGCGAGCGGTCGATACCGCCAGGGGTATCTGACTTTCAGAGCACCCTGGTAAAGCATGCAGGATCTCTTGTCCCCGCACAGTTTCCCTTCCCTCTTTTCTCCCGTCGCTGGCGTCTCCGAGCAATGGCGCATAAGCTGCTGCAATAAACAGGTCTTGGGCAAGACCTGTGAACGAGAGCTTTAATGTTAGGGAGATCATGCTGACCGCTTATAAATGGAGGATTGGAGGTACCATGTGTGTATGTATTGAATAATTGAATCTCAATTGTTCCCTTCATCATAGGATCGATTGCCCCTGTCTGTCAGTTGAGTATTAAACTCTACGTGGTTTGTCATGAGCAGAAACTTGCTACCTGTTCCCAGGCTTAGCTTGTAAAGTCAGGACGTTGTTTTTGCGACAACGGAAGCCCGCCTGGGAGTCGGCCATTTTGTACGGGCCCGATGTAAAGCAGTTTACAAACAAGCCAGCCAGTACAATAGATTCGGGGGTTTCGTTATTTTCGTTAATACCTCTCGGAGTCGACCGTTTACGGTTGTCCTTAACCCATTTCTTTTTTAATCAGTCGCCTGGGCCACCCACGCATTAAACAAGAGACCGTCTCCAGCGATCTGTCCACAGGGCAAGTTTGACTCTAGGCGAGGTAGTTGACCACTGGCGAGCGTGTTTTTCGACTGCACTAATGTCCAAGCAAGTTTTGGAGTCCGCTCGTGATTCCCGACGAAATGCATTTTGGAGTTCAGATGTCTGACTCTCGCTTTCTACATTGTATACTGAAGTCTGGGCTCAATTGTGAGCTCATAAATAAATATATATATAAATATATATATGTATAGCAGAATAAAAGTTTAATTTACTTCACCGTGCCTGATATTTTCTTTTTCTCCCTTTTTAACTTCTCTCGAACCCTTTTCCTCCAGCCCGTTGGGTTAAAGCCACAATAAAACCGTAACGGCCGTTAAGGAAACAGCCGATACATGAAACGGAGTCCTTGAACGTCGACCGATTGGCACGTTTCGGTGACAGCTACGGGGTCCCCTCGGAGTGACCGTTCCCACGTAGCCCCACAGCGGTTCACGGTCTTGAGATCATACTCTGTTTTCCATCTAACCTCAGGCTTTCATTTTGCTTTTAACTACATCCTTGCAGAAAAGTGGAGAGGGGGGGAAAGAAAGTCCATAGCCTTGATTCTGCAGATGTTTCACAACTGAAAGTAGTCTTGAGAAATCTGCTTCACGAATTCCACCTGGCTTTTGTCCCTCGGTTTGGAAAAGAAATATATATATCTGTCACATTAGAGGGAGGGTCTCCTTCCAATAGAAAAAGAACCCTTACTTTGAAGAAGGTGCTCCATTGGCTTTAAAGGTAAAGGTTCACTTGCTCAAAAGCCAGTCGAGTCCGACTCTAGGGTTGCGGTGCTCATCTCCGTTTCAAAGCCGAAGAGCCAGCGCTGTCCGAAGATGTTTCCATGGTCATGTGGCTGGCATGATTAAACGCCAAGGCGCACGGAGCGCTGTTACCTTCCCACCGAAATGGTCCCTATTTATCTACTTGCAATTTCTTGCTTTCGAACTGCTCGGTTGGCAGGAGCTGGAACTAGAGATGGGAGCTCACTCCGTCATGCGGCAACTCGGGTCTCGAACTGCTGAACTACCGAACTTCTAGAGCCTGCAGTTCAGCGTCTTAAATTCATTAAAAAATATAATTCATATACTCCTAAAGCTGTTCCTGGTTGACCCAGGTGAGTCCAGTCTGTTTGGATCCCAGAAGTTTAGCGGGGCAGCACTGGTTAGTACTTAGACGGGAGACCTCCAAGGAAGTTTAGGATGGTTGTGCAGAGGCAGGCAATGGCAAACCACCCCTGTTCATCTCTCGCCTTGAAACCCTACAGGGTCGACAGAATTCAGCCACAGCTTGAATTCAGTCGCAGCCAGTTTGGTGTCGTGGTTAGGAGCACGGACTCTAATCCAGGAGAACCGGGTTTGAGTCCCCACTCCTCCACATGCAGCTGCTGGGGTGACCTTGGGTCAGTCACAAGTTCTCTCAGAGCTGTTCTTGAAAGAGCAGTCCTCAAAAGAG